TGACATTTGGTTTTGGTTGAAATTTATCGCAAACTTCCAATAATAAAAGAAAAAGAAAACATATCAACAAAATACACAGAAAAATAGATATAAAATCAACTTTTGGTGAGTTGTACAATAGGAACTGCGACTAGAAATAATTTTTTTCATGTTATTATAGATTAAACACTACAGATGACCTGTATCTAAAAAATAAATATTAAAAGTTAGCAGGAGGTATAGTTTGCAATGTAAAATAATTTTAAATTGACCATCCCTCCCCCTGCTGAAGGAAAAAACAAAATATACTCATACGACGGAATTTCTTGAAATCAAAAACTGAAATTCTTAATCTGGAGTTATTTTACCGTATATTACTTTTGATTAAGCACGTTTTCGTAAAACATCTGTTTAATACTTTGGCGCACATCATCAATGACGTTTTTAGCCGAAGTTCATTAAGAGGTTTTAGGTCTTTCAACATCATACCCCCCCTCTCCACGGTGACCCAGCTACAACTTTCATCATTTTTAATATATTTATTGTTCAAAATAAGAGAAGAGGCTGGTCGACACTATCCTATACCAAAAATCACGACCTTTCTATGCATTACAACTTGCCTATTTACCACAAGAACTCCGCTATCTTCATTGAATCCGATGTTGAAACTGACATGTACCACAACGTCACAGGGACCCTACAACACCCCCCTCATGGTATAAAAAGCTTAAAAGGCTTAACATTTCCAATATAAAAAAAGATAAAAAATTGCATGATGAACGAGTGGGGAGGAGATGAACCCTAAAAACAAACTAAAATATAACAAAAGATTAAAAAAATACGTCAGTAGGAACCATCCACTCCCACGAAAATACGAGCGGTCGCTGTATTATGTCTATAGGCAGAATCAAGACTCTCACTCAAAGAAGAAGGAACGATAAAGAAAATGCTGGGGTGGGAAACTCAATACTGACCCAGCCGAGATCAAACGGGACAAAAAGGGGAGGTTGGGAACCTCGACATGGATCATAACTAAATAGAACGCCGGGAACAGGCCAGGAACAACAATCACTTACATCAACTAGCTACTCAAAAGGTGTCTAGTATAAACAGGGGAGGGATCCGTTGTGTCAAAGGGGACCTAAAAGAGAAAGTCAAGGCTCGGTCCCGTTCACTCGCACCAAGCTTGCCACTTTTACCCACCTTTTGTTTTGAAATCTCTCGACACCGAACGCTTTCTATCACATCTGATTTTCCTCTTGAGCTGGTGCCCAAAGAATCCTATTATATCGCAATAAGAATAGCGTTCGTATCACAATATTCCCTCCATTCGCGACGTCCATATCACCATTCTTGCCACGCCTAGCACCCGTTTTTCCTCAAAAGACGCGGGTGACATATTATCGCAAGCATATGCGTGATGTTCGGGAGTGATACGAGCCGTCAGCTCGCCAACGTAATCCCAGAACGGGCTCATGGTAGTGGTAGAAGGCGTGCGAAGCCGTTTCTTCTAAACGTAATCCACACCGATGACACATAGGTAACAATGGTTCGGGGTATCAATATTCTGTCCGCTAGTCGAGACTCCATTGTCGGGTGTAGTTTCAGGTCATACCCAAGACCTACTTTCCAGTTCCCTTGGAAAAAAAAAATCACCAGCAGTTTCCCTTCACTTTCAATCATTTTGATCTTTTAAGCCATAATCATCTAGAGACCTGCTGTTATTGAACAAATAGCCTTTTCCAAGCCTGTTACACCGAATTTTTTAGAATCTTATATAGTGGAGCGCCCAGCGAAGCCTCTGCATCCGATATCAATCGGTTCACACCATTCAATCGGTTAGCCAACCATGCCTTTTGCATTTCTTTGCAATATGTAAAGTTTCCTTTCGTGGGCTTCGCCTATGTTTTCCTCCCAAGGGATTGTAAATTATTACATGATGACTTGCATGGTCTCTTTCGAAAAAATAATAATGTCCGGACGTAGCTTAGTCTGTATTATTTTCACAGGGAGTTTTAGCTGCCTGCCTATGTCTACTATTATTTGCCAGTCTGGGGCAAATCTGAAGATGGACGTTCTCTTCTGGTAATATCTTTACCTTTTCTCCTGCTCTGACGAAATTCGTCAGGTCCTTATTCGATTCTTATTTTTTTGTTAGACTCTTCGAGACTATTCTTGCAATATCTCTTAACACTTTGTCATGGCGCCACCGGTAACGCCCCTCCATGCCTGGGGACAACCGCTCAATACGTGTTGGCGGGGTCCTCTCTTCAGACACAACTGGGCTGGGTAATGTATTATAAACTGCCTGCACAAGGAAACTTATGTTACTGGGATAAGTATAACAGAAATCTGCTAAGGAAATATTCATTTTTTTTTCTTAACTTTCCCCATTTTGCCCTGTTGACGAAAGGCCACCATTTTACTGGCTCTAATTTCCTCCACATCACTTCATATTATTAACAGTGTTTCCGATTTTACCTTATATATTTTTTCCTCTCCTTCAGTGAAGCGTACAGTCACCTAGGCCTTATCTGCCGACTAATTTGAAAAAAAAAATCCTAGTTATTGTGCAACTCTAGCCAATTTTTTAAAGTAGGATTTTTTCGCAACCCGCTGAAGCGTGTTGAAATTCTCAGACTATTGTTGAAGTGCTATCGCATGTTATGTCAAGATTTACAAATTCTACGCTTCGTTTAATTTCGCAAAACAATCGATGAAATTCGAATAAACTGATTTATTTGAAAAAATACTCTGACAAAACCCTACTTCGCAGTTTAATAATTTAAAAAAAAAATTAATTTTATTGGAATTATAGGAATTATAGGAATTTTAAACAATATTTAAATTTTTTTTTATTTTGCCTTTTTAACAGCGAAGGATAAATTCTTAGGATTTCTTATTGTTGAACATACAACTGGCCATGAAATATTTCTTTGTGTAACAAGTTGTAACTTTTTAAAGCATTTGGCCTTGTGATTTGTTTTATAGTTCTCGCAAATGCAGAGCGAAGTGGAAACTGGATTCTTGTATATAAAACCTTTTTTATTTTGTATGTTAAATAATAAAACTTAATTTCCCTCACAAAAATGAACTGTACTTTAGACCCTTTACCCTTCTTATATATATATATATATATATATATATATATATATATATATATATATATATTTTCAAGAGGATAGAATCCAGGTAGAACTCAATGTCCAGGACAGAGTACAGAATAAATACTAATATTCCATGGTTATAATTTATTACATTGAATCGTAATCACGATGCAATTCATCAGACCTACATATTTGTACGTATGATGAATTGGATCGTGGTTACAATTTCAATGTAATAAATTATATAACCATGGAATATTAATATTTGAATTTAATATATATATATATATATATATATATATATTAATGTGTGTGTGTGTGTGAAAATATAGAAAATAGGGAAGAACTGGTTAGGTAAATAATCCAAGGTTATATATATATATATATATATATATATATATATATATATATATATATATATATATATATATATATATATATATATGTGTGTGTGTGTGTGTAAATGCATAAAACAGATTTTTATGATGATGCCGGTTCGTCGGTGAAAATATATCAAAGTAGAAATTTTACAAATTGTTTATATTTTACACGATTAAATATATAAAAAATATATTGAACTTTAATAAAGAATATATTTGAAATAAATATTGTAAGAATAACTTTTACCGAATTTAAGAATAACATTAATAAAATTTAAATAACAAGTATAACCGAACATTTATTAAAAATGTTTAACGACTTCAATGCTATTGACTTTCAACTTGTTCCACTTTCTTCAAGAAGATTAAAAATGGCTTATTCTTTCGAAATTGAAAAATACCAACAATGTTTCGTTTTTACCCGAAAACTTAATCAGAAAATGAAATGTGTAGGTCAGAAAATTTTAGATGTGTAGCGGCAGAACTCGGAGAATAGGTGGTGACGGGTGTCATATGTTATTGACAGAGCAGCAACAAGGACTTAGCGAAATTGAATCAAACGACTTCCTCTCTTAACCCTAATCCACCTCTCGCTACGTAATCTTTCTAACACAAAATCTTTCACAGCAATAAACTCAAAACAGTCCCACTTGTCTTTAACAAAATTTCTACCGGAGAAAATTCAATTTACTTTACCCCCTCCTTAAAAAAAAAATGTCCAACTAGAACAGCACCTCTGTAAATGCTTTTGTCTTTTGAGATTTTTTATGATTCCATTTTTACCGTTTTTGGCCTCATTTTTCTGATTTCTTTCCTATCGCTTGTCTGCAGTTATCTCATATCAGCATATCTATCCCTGTCGAAAAGAAAGTCGAAAGGAAAGAGAGCAAATATCAATAAATATATTAATGAAACTAAATAAATACCTATACAAACAAAATAATCTAAATCAAATTCTATTATTTGGTTTAGGGTTGCCACAAAAGAAGGAATCACAAAGGTCTTAAAGATTACAAAAAAAATAAAAAAAATAAAATAAAATAAATTAAGAAAAAGTTAATAAAATTTCATTTCTTACAACATCCCGACTGTCCTTCCTTCCTTTTTTCTTTTCTTATTTCTTATTTACTTTTGATTTAAAACTCTACCTATTTGATAAAAAAAAAAAAAAAAAAAAAAAACTTTAACAATTCCATGTTGAAGAGGAAAGAACAAAATATAAAACAGGCAAAAATAAAAACCTTTACAATCTAATCTTTTGCGGATACCAATACATTTTTCTCTTCGTATTTGTTTCTCCTGTCTCTGGAAAAAAAAAAAAGAAAGAAAAAGGCTGTTGCTTCTGAATTGATTTTTGGTGACACTGCTACAGTTTTGTCCCTCTGGAATTTTGAAAATGTCTTGACACAAATATCCTCGTCTTTCTCTCTCTCTCTCCCCACTCTCTCTCTCTATATATATATATATATATATATATATATATATATTCGCTGTATTGATGTTCATCTTTTTTTTCTGTGTAATAAAGTTTTCCATGTTTTTCTTTCTTCTTTTCCTCCCCCACTCTCTCTGTGTATGGGTTCTCTATCTTCATTATCTTTATATGTTGCCTTCGTTATCTGTCTGTCTGTCTGTCTATCTATCTATCGTATTTGTTATCTATCTCTCTATCTATCTATCGTATTTGTTATCTATCTATCTTTCTATCTATCTTATTTGTTATCTATCTATCTTTCTATCTATCGTCTTTGTTATCTATCTCTCTATCTATCTATCGTATTTGTTATCTATCTATCTATCTTTCTATCGTATTTGTTATCTATCTATCTATCTTTCTATCGTATTTGTTATCTATCTTTCTATCTATCGTATTTGTTATCTATCTTTCTATCTATCGTATTTGTTATCTATCTATCTATCTATCTATCTATCTGTCTTTGTATCTATCGTATTTGTTATCTATCTATCTATCGTTTCCGTTATCTATCTATATGTCTTATTTCCCTGTATTCTCTTTTTTTTTTCTGTGAAATAATTGTTTGTGTCTCGTTCATTCTCTCTCACTGTATCTTGGTCCCTTACCTCTTTCTTGTCCGCACACAGACATACACTATATTTGGGTTGGGCACCTTGGCGTGGTGTAATGGTTAGCAAGCTTGTTTTGCTAGATCAGTTACTACTGAAAAGTGAGTTCGATTCTCACTGGATGCCCCATACTTTCGGCATTGTGCCACATCTAAGCAACGCTTGGAAAATCTTTACACTATATTTTTGGGTTCGTGTTTTCTTTATTTATTTCTAGAGTAGGATTATATCTATTTCTTTTCTCTTTCTCTCTATTTGGATTCTCCGTGTTATTATCTTCGTTTCTTTCTGTTTTACCTTGTTATAGGTTGCTCTATGTCTTCTTATATATATATATATCTTTTTCTCATTTATTCTCTTTTTTTGCATCAGTGGTATTTACATTGCTCTCTCTCGGTTTTTATAATTTTAGTTATGTTTCTCTTTTTTTTTTTTTTTTTTTTTTTTTTTTTTGTACCAGGATTTGGGATCTGTGCGTCATTTGGTCTCTCTCTCCCTCCCAATGTTTGGATTCTCCATGTTTTTGTTTTCTCTTTCTTGGTATTCGGCTTCCCTACATTTGATTTTTCTCTCTATCCACCTTTCTATCATTATTTGGTATTGTAATATTTTCTCTCTTTCTCTCTCTCTTTGTAATTTGGTTTTCTTCGTTCTTTTCATTCTCTCACACTCGCTCTTCTTTTCTCTCTCTCTCAACTTGGCTCTTTATATTTTGTCTCTTTATGATCTGCTCTCTTTTTTAACAAATATTATTTTCCCATTGAATTGCTCGTTCTTCATTCCTTTGGACATGAAAGAAAGTTCGGTTCTATCTATCTGTCTAGGCACCGCGAGGTGGTGTAATGGTTAGTAAGCTTGTCTCACAAGAACAATTACGACTAAATAGTGAGTTCGATTCTCCCTGGGTGCCCCTTTCATTCGGCCTTGTGCCACATCCAAGATACGCTTGGAAAATCACTATATATATATATATATATATTCCGTTTTTGAAACATAGTTAGAATTGTGTAGCGAAAAAACATTTTAAATCAATTAATTTATAATATTAATGCTCTGTAAATTTACATTGAGCACCATTTTGTAAAAATAAAAATATCTATAAGAACACCGGATTATATATCTTTCTGTTCTTTCTTTTTATTTATATACATATATATATATATATACTCACACTTTTTTCTCGCTACTATGCTACCTGGGAGACAAGTAAATGTTTTTAATTTTTAATTATTATTATGTAGCAAGATTAACTTATAACTTTTTGTTATAAATTTCGTATAAACCTCCTATTTCTGGTTAATAATACTGTAAGGAAACACTGGAGAAAAAGGTTTAGTGAAGAACAGGTTTAATCATACGAGAGACATGGATTAATAATACAGTAACAGAGAATACCGTAGTTCAATGAGGCAATGTGTATGACTCAAAGTCTACACCTTGCAACGCACTTTGATGAACAGACGTTCTCCTCAGCGGATGAACGAGTTCATGTTCAACAATTAGTGTAAAGAAGGTAAGTCGTCATTCTACACAACACACAAAAACATATATAAGCACAGTGGAGTAATGGACAGTCGAGTTTATAGTAGTCACTGACGTGGTAATACCCTTAGGAAAGGTATGAATTCATAACTCTCAGTGCCAGCTATGAGTAAACAGCAGGACAAACTGGGTCTCAGCCTTGGCTGGCAACCGATTTAGGAGAAGGGGAACTCTGAACTTACACCAGCTGATGCCTTATTTTATAGGGATAATAACGGTTTAGTGATATGTCTTACTAATTAACCATTACTTGGGCGGGGGACGAAGAGCATTTCTATCATATATATATATACATACATAGGTAATAAATCTGTTGGTATATAATCCATGTGGATCCTAGTAATATCAAATATTAACACTGATTCACAGAGAGCTCGATGTATTTATTATAACAGAACATATATTTATCTTACATCAAAAACCAAAATTATCTTAACATGAGTATAGTCTATTTCAGGCTGGTCTGACCCAGTGTCTTTAGCTCTTAAGTGTTTGCCTGGAAGTGGGGTATTAAATTTGTTTTCAATATCAATTCTCATCATATATATATATATATATATTTATTTAAAAAAATATAAATTATTTGTTATAAAAAAAAAAATAACATATCAATATGATTAATGTTAAATCATTTGTTGGTTAAAATATGTATACCAATTTTTGTTTCATATATATATATAGAGAGTCTTATCAAGTGATGATTTTTTATGAATTAAACTTCTATGAGTTTTCGGCCATTTGACGTGGTTAGATGACCTTACAACGTAGAGGTCTTTCATCCATGTCATAGTATTCGTTGGTTGGCACCAAAATTAAGCTAGTTGGCTCGCTAAGTCATTTGTTGCAGAAATCTGATTCAGAGCATTCCATTTACTATCATTCGCTGACATATAAACTATACCATAAAAAAACCAGCACCTCCCGACTGAAGTTAGTTTGAGGTATTTATGACTTCTTGCCGGTAAGCCTTCGTTTTTTTTTTCCTTTTTAGCCACTGACCAAATCACTAAAACTAAAATAAATCCTTTTTTTTTGTTTACTATAAAACTTAGTTGGCTGTTCCCTTTACTTCTCTATCTCATTACTTATGTCGCACACGAGGCACCGAACTGTACACGGCTCTGAATGAACCACAAATACAATCTCTCCCTTCAGCAATGGCGACAACTATTAAAGCTTCCACAAAAACCACACACACTTATGTTTGTGCAACGTTTAAATAGTCTACACAGCTCGCGTCGCGAACGTTAAAAATATCTAATTATAGTTAGGTTCCTTTAAAATCAGGACGCACTGTGTTAGAGGTACTAGGCAAGAATGATTCCAGTCGACATTTCTCCATTTAAGGCATTATTATATCATAGTAACACCTAAGTACACAGACGGAACAGGTGAAAGAAATGAATAGCAGACATACATTATTCTCAAAGAGATTTTTATATAACGCTATACCATACAAGAAATTATATACAAATATATGTCTACTTTTTCTATGTACTAAGACCTTTCAAGATGTTCGCGATCTTATTCTCCACAATTCCATGTCATTAGCAGCTCTTAATACATTTTTTTAAAAATTTTCTATTCTCTCCTAAACCCTGTTCTGTCATCCATTTACTCAAGACCGCCATGTAGGTTATGCGTTGGTTTTTATCTGTCCGCCCTGTTTTCAATATGTTCCGTGAGTGTCAAATTTTCCAAGCTTTTCCCCCCTCATTATTCAATTCTTTCTGATGTTAAGTATAAGTGTCCCATTTTATACCATTTTTTCTTAAATTTTTCTCGTTTCTCACATGTTCTGTTAATGGTATTCTCAGCATCCTTATGTAGAACCACATTGATGTTGTCTCAAGTCGCTTCTTCATCTGTGTCCAGCATTCACTGTCATATAGGAGGACCGGTATTACATAGCACTTAACTATTCTTTACTTTACTTCCAAAGATTTCCTGTTTTTTATACTATGCTTAGCTTTTGGAAGGCATCTTTCTCTATCACAATGTACTTTAGGATTGAGGGGTCGTAAATTCTGTTCCTTGTTAAAACGCTTCACTGATATTTAAATTGTTGTAATTGCTTGGTTTTGGTATCTTCAATTTGTAATTTTCATGTTGGGCTTTTCCTTTTGCTAACAATCAATGTATTCTTTCAATTTATTTTTAGTCCTTTTTTCTCGCTTTCCTCCACTACTTTTCGTAGGATTTTTGTATTTTCCTCACCGTATCTGCTATCAGCACTGTTATCTGCATATCTAATATTAAGACTGTGGTCGCCAATAATGAATCCTGGTAGGACTTATAATTCTCTCACTGTATAGGCTGAATAAGTCCAGTGGAAAGACACAGCCTTGTCTTACAACTCTTTCTATTTATTGAATTCATTTTCTATCCGTATGCGGGCGGTTTGCTTCCAGTATAAATTCTAGATTATTCTACTTGTCACTAATTTGTTCCACACTGAGAAATTGTAACAAATGAATACAAAACAAGCTGAGTGAAAAGGCAAGAGGCGGTAGTGACTAATTGTAATATTTCCCGAAGAGAAATCGACCAAACCGATGGTATGGTCATGTCATTCGTGAATACCATGTGATTTCCTGTGGTCTCCTTACCACGGTGGGCTTGTGCCATTTGTTTTTCTCCGCAGTCATCATAGCAACTGGGATTCGTTACTGTACTCACCGGTCGTTACGTGACTTACACAAAGGGAGATAATCGCTCTTAGCATCCCTACATGTGCATACTGCTTTCAGAGCGAAACCATCAGCTACCAAAAATGTTGCTTCGAATACGGCACGTTTTAAATTACAGAACACTGACTTATTTATTACAGTTTTCTAATCTTGAAAACAAAAGCGAATAAGTAGCATTTTCATTCGTTTCTTTTTATTCCTTCTTTATTATTCATTTTCTATGTACTTATTTTATCGATGACGTTCTTTGACGATTACGACAGCCATTGTCAATGAAACGATAATTTTGGTTGGTAAATGCGTGTTGAGACAAGATTATTCTAACTTCAAGAAAACTTAGTATCCTATTATAAATGTACTTGTCCCTCCTTGCGTTAGTTAGTACGACCGTTACGTCCTGTCAATACTTCATAAATAATAGACTATTCCGCGTTTTGATCGTGTGGAAAGAGGGGAAAACATTACTTGGTCTCAGTGAGAAAATGAAATAAGGAAGGGTAGATAGACGTGTAGAAGGGAAGAGAATTGGATTGAGATGATAAGAAAAGATACACTTTGATCTCGGCTAAAAGCCCTAGATATTATAGCGTCCATAAAAACGACATTTTTCAGGCCCACACTATCTAACAACGAAAATCGGGTAAGGCAATCACAAAAAATCCAATTACAGTAAATTAAATAAAAGATCGTCTGTTGAATTTTTAAATTAAGAGAAATGTTCATAAGAGGGGAATTTGGCTGAAAAAAGAGAATAAAACGATATAAGAGAAAATAAATGTTTAAGGACTCCTGTCAATACCTCATAGATAGTGGACAATTCCATTTCGATCGCGTGGAAAGAGGGAAAAGAGAGATTACTTGATTTCATTGAGAAAATGAAAGAAAAAGAAGGAAATATAGAAGTGTTTAACGCTTTCAGAGAGACCGACTTGAACATCAGGATCAACTGCGCGCAAATATTAATTAAAGTTAACAGCATGCTGCCCCTCTCAATAGAGAGCCTTACCTGCCAGTGTGATTTCGTCGCAAAGCAGTAAAGCAGGCCTTGCTCTCCATTCGCGGAAACATGTGGCAATTGATCTTCAACGATTCAAGCGAAATGCCTCAACCACATGTCCCTTCTGACTTAAAGTTTTCAAAACACCTGCAGGCAACGCGAGACATATGCCTTGCATAGAAGTTGAGCACGTCTTTATTTTACTAAGGCCTCATTTCTCGTCAACGTCGAGAGAATCCACCATATATAAGGTTAAGATATTTATTTTCAAAAATTGATACAAACTCTTTTTAATAAATATGGAGCTTGTGTATAAATGTAGTGTTGTTGACATTTTGGAAAAGAGATACTGTAACAAAATCTTCCAAATTCGTTTGTCAAGTGACATTTCATTTATTTTCAGGTCACTCGACGAGTGTCACTGGAATCATATAACCAGGTTCTACCTGTCGCATGGACAAGTCGTCGACGACTAAACCAGTTACCCTACCAGTTTTCCTAATGAGGAGGGTGGTTAGAAACCCAGAAATATTAAGCACAAGATCTGTGAAAGGATAGATGAGCCATCTTGTATGACCAACAGACATCTAGCACAATAGGGTAGACTTAAGCTCAATTGAT